TCCTCCTGGCTCAGTGCTGGAATTGTAGGTGTGCTCCATCATACCTGCTCAAAATAGATTATTAGAAAATTAATCTAGGGGGCTGGGGAGATGGCTCAGTGGAATAAGTACTTCTCTGGCAAGTGCAAGGGCCTGAGTTCAATCCCCAGTTCCGCAAAAAAAAAAAAAAAGAAAGTTAATCTACTTATATTCTATGTGTAAGGGGTGGTCTTGATTTATTTATTTTTTTGGAGGGGATGGTCTTGATTTAAAGCGAACAACAGGTTGAAAATAAAAGGATAAAACAAGATATGTCATGCAAACAGTAACCAAAAGCAAGCTGGAGAGGCTGCACTAGTATTGGGTAGGAGAGACTTTAATAAAAAATTATAACTAGATTCAGAGAAAGACATTTCATCATAAAAATCAGTCCCTCAAAGATACATGTGTACCTCACAATAGAGTCTCAATATACATGAAGAAAAAACTGATAGAATTAAAAAGAAATAATTCAAAAATAATGATTGGAAGTTTCAGTACCTCATATCAATGATGGACACATCAGCTGCAGAAGAAGCTTTAGCAGGAGAAAGATTGGATGCCAGGTGCCAGCTGCAGACCTGAAGTCATCCGTAGCATGCCCTCTCCCATGGTGGCACAGGACAGACTGTCAGATGCACCTTGAATATCTCCAGGCTAGATCATATACTAGGCCATGGCAGAATTTTCAATTAATGTAACAAAACTGAAGTCTCATATATCCTCTGAACTCACTGCATGAAATTAGAAGTCATAATAGGAGGAGAGGGAGACAAACTGTGGGATGGACTGAGGGTTTGGCAGACACAAGGCCGTGGGTTTGGACTCCAGCACCAAAACAACATTTACAAGAAGAGAAGTACAACTAAGATTGAAAAATATTTATAATGATTGTATAAATGGACAAATGACATGCAGCTAAAGAACATGCAAATTACATTTGATGAATCACTCAGCCCCACAAAATGGTTTACAGTGTTTCTCCTTTTCCCTCCCCTCCCCTCCCTGCCCACTCCTAGTATGCTTAAACTTTTTTTTTTCCTTTTCAAAGTTTTATTGATAAACATATAGCAATGAGACAGTTTCAAATCAAATCGAAAGTACAGTTTCAACAAATAATACACTGCATATATTCT